CAAATTATAGTTAAGGAAACTAATTATGTATGTGGCATATATCTGCACGGCATTTACTATTTGCTGTCGACTTGCAAATCAGAATAAAAAACCATGATGGTTGTAAGTGGGTCTGACATGCATGATTTGTGTAATCCGTACTTTGGCACCTGAAATATTACTTAAAACTCTGGGCTCTTAGATGCTGTAGAGATGAGCAGATGGAAAACGAAAACAGGGCAGCAGCTTTAAATCATAATTTGCTGAGAGAGACCAAAAAAGGAAGACCATTAGATGACGACACTCATCTGCAGTTACCAAACTCATGCTGTGCACAGCGTCTGAAGGGAGTCAATAGGGAAGTTTCTACCACAGGTTCACCACGAAGATGTGTGACTGTTTCATGATAGAATAGTGCTGTTCTAGTTCTAGTGTCAGCATTTCATTCTCACTTCTTTGTTCCCAGTTCTGCCCTCTCCCACAATTGTACGTACTGTAATGCAAAAGGGTACAGTTGACTCCTTCTGACTTGGAGACTTGTACAACACTGCCAACCTGGAAATAAATAATAAATGAATCATCATTATTACTTCACTGATATTAACCAATGTTTAGATAGAACTTTTATAAATAGTTTAACATCATTAAGTTCACTGCATTTCACTGGCAATTATTTGTGTTCACATTTGTGTTATTTTTATGTCATTATGTCATATCTAACCCAGAAAATTAACAGAATATCACATCACTGCTATTAGTCAGTGAAAGGACATAGTCCATTCAGTGAATGAGAAAAATATTGCAAGAGCAAAAATATGATACATTAATTTTAGCTTTTTTCTTTATATCCTTTTACTGGTACAGGTAGTTCTCATTTAATGATGCTACCTGGGACTGGAAACTCCGTCGTTAAGCGATGTGGTTTTAAGTTGAAAAACCATGTGACCACACCTTGTAATGATGGCAGTTCCAGCAGTCCTGGTTACCTTGTTAAGCAAGGATCTCACACAACTGACTTTGCTTGTGGGAAGCCGGCAGGGAAGGTTGCAAATCATGATCATGTGACTGCGGGAGACTGTGACAGCTGTAAGTACGAGGTCCAGTCATAACTACCACTTGTTCAGCGCTGTCGTAAATTTGAATGGATGCTGAATGAGTGGTCAATAAATGAGGACTGGATAGCTGGAATGGCTCCTATTCATTTTAACAGGGTTGCACAGAGGAATTTTTCAGAAGATCATTGCTCTAATGTCTTAATTTCAAAGAGCATAGATATGAACAAAAGGTATTTTACAGCTTGTGATAGATGGGCCCCACATGAACAGTAGAGAACAGAAAATAGTGGTAATGTTTGAAAAAGGAAAGGGAGAGATGATTGTAGAAACCTGGCCTGTTTTGCAATTCTGCATTCTTAACTGATAACCGTGTTTCGGGTTCACAATTTTTATTTTCTTAAGTGCACTTGGCATTTTTTTTAATGAAGAGATGGAATAAATATTTTTAAGGTAAATGCAACTGCACTGAATTTTTTGTTCAATCTAAAATCTAATTCAAGAACCTCCCACTAAAACCCACAAGGAGAGAGGGGCTTCTGCTCTTGCTATACCCCAGGAAAATACTCTGCCTTCCTCTGAGATAACCTGCCAAGATTCCTGTTAATTATTTTTAGGGCTTCGGGTTTCTTTTCTTCTCTTAGTGCTATTCTATTAGAAAGCAAGTAATTACCGCCCAAGGAAGATTATCACATCACATTAGTTGCACAGGGAATTCCTTAGAACATTTAAATAGGTGGGTGTACTTTATAGAAATAGCCTTAATCTTGAGATACCCTGTCATGTTTTTAACAGGCTCTCAAATAGAATTCCACCAGGTGCCCCTTTGATGTAATGGATTTTTTTTTTAAGTAAGGGATACCCTTCCATCTAAATTAAGTGACACACTTATAGTGCTGGAAGGAGAAGAGGGATATTGGGTTTTAACAAAATAATTGCATAATGGCTAAGGTTACACTGTGTTCCAGCTATAAAACAAAGATATACTGCAAGAATTCACACAGCAGCCTGAGCAAAACAATGGCCAATGTATCTTAAAAAGGGACAGCTTAACTCTGTTTATCGCCTTCAATGTGGGACTCTCATTTTCTACAGGTTTCCCTATGGTATAAATAAAGGCTACCTTTACTAGTACATTCCTGTCTTGCAGTCTCACACTCTGTATTTAAAATGGGAATGTCTGAATAGATTATGTTGCTATTGTACTTTAGATAAGGTTGTTGCCCAGAATTGCAAGCTAAGATAAAAGGACAGAGCAGCCCCTGAAACTGCCTCTCCAAGAATTTATCTACCCTTCATGTTAAGATAGTTGTCATTCATATTTCTTATTTAGATTATACTATTCATTCCCCTGCATCTAAATCTGATCTCTATCTTTTTGTTCACAATATCTGCACACCTCAATTTCAGTGTAACTATGGAATTGGCTGGTTCTGGCATAGGTAGACAGATTCCGCTACTTGTCTAAGAAAGTGCCATTTTCCTATTTTATTTTTAGAATATCTGAAGAAGTGTGCACATTTCTGAGCCCTAAGCTTTTGAAACCAGCAGAAATACATTTTTAAACTGAATCTCAGCTGACACTTTTATTCCTGGCTGTTTTCACATGACATGCTTACCTGTGGTTAACTGAGCCATGATATACTCAACTCAATTTTCAAGCTTTCATGACACACTGAATCATTATTGAACTGTGGAGGCTGATCTACACTATGTAGTTGGCTAGTCTGTAGTTCATGAAGCTACTGCAGATTTTTCCTGTCTAGCTGCTTATGGGCTTTTTTTTGGATGTGAAATCATTTTGAGAACTTTGTCCTAGCATGTTTTTAGATAAATATTTAAATTAAAGACAAAATGTTCATTCCACAGCTGGTGTGTGCTGATGGGAGGATGAGAAGACTGTCAGAAGTAGAAAAGATAATTGAGTGTATCCTTGGCTTTACTTATAAACTCAACAGCTAACTTCACTAGTTTGTATCCTATTTTTTAATCTCACCTCTGTTTGTTATTCCAGTGCAAAATTAAACGGATGGTAGCTGCATGACCCCAGCTTTCCCCTAGGGAGGGAGGGAAGGAGAGAAATGGATTACTAATTATTCTTCAAACATTTTTTTAAAGGCACACAGCTGGTATATGGAACATACTGCAGTCAGGAACAGCCAGCTGCAAAGAAATAGTCAATGAATTCATAATAGGAAAATTAGCAATCATGAACTAAGATGACCCCTCTAAGCTTTGAGTAAGGGCTAGAATTCTTATGCAGAAGGGAGCCCTGAGATACTAAATACCTGCATGAGATAATGCCTATTAATTGCAATAGAACAATTCATTAAGACATTCCTACTCTCTTTCTGTCTTGCAGTTTTGGATTTATGTGAATCATCTTGGGGGCTCTCAGTAAACTGAGTTAGAAATACTTGAGAATAAATAAAATAGTTTTTTAAATCCTCACAAAAATGGTGCCTCTGAATGAAATACTTGATCTACTTAGTCCGGTCATGCAAACAGCTTTTCATCTGCTCATTAGCTCTAAACAAAGCCCGCCTCCAACAGAGAGACCTTCCACAAAATCTTCCCCAGTCTTGTCGAAAAGGAGCACTGCCAAAGTGCTCATAGGGCTGGGGCTTCTGGGATCTATATTCAACACCTCTGACAGGAAAGGATACAGATACCCTTTTTTCTCATTTAAACAGTACAGTCTTCCATTCACTAGTCTTCACCCTCCACTTATCTTTACAATGCTTCAGACTATGCATTTGCAAATATAATGCAACCATTCCTGGAATTGTTCTCTTCTACAGTAGGATTCAGCTTAAAGGATGGAATGCTTTTTTTCTACTTTCGATAATCCATACTCAAACAGCACTTCTGCACTGTAATTTGCTTTGTTCCCCAAATCCTCTGAAGCTGTCTCAAGATGTTCCACAAGTATCTTCACTACTCTTTTCCTTGCCACTCAGAGATCTCCAACTTTCCTCCGTCTGTTTCTACCTCCACGAGGAGGCAGGCAGGGCCAGAAAAACTATAGGCACATGCCCATTTAGTCACAAGGAATTGAGCCTGACTCAGAGACTTTACTTTTTACCTCTTGTTGGAAGTCAATGGGTAAGTAATAGTAACTTTTCCAGATCATGATAAAAGAAAAAGGGAGAAAATGGTTTATTTTTTTCTCAACAATTCCACCTACTTTGTTCAAGATTATGCAAGGGGGGGGGAAGTATACATAAAACAGATTTTAAAAACATAGCTGCTTCTAAGTTAATATGGGGGAGAGTGCAAGGGCACCTCCTTTAAAAGACCTAATGTGGGAGCACTGGGTTTGTTCTGTTAAAATGTTAAACTGTGCCTCTATAAAAGCTCAACTGGTATATTTGTAAATACATTCAAACATAACAAAATTCTCCATTGATCCCTCCTTCCAAAGGAGATTAAATCCTTGTATGTGCTTTGCCTCTAAAATGTTTAATTGCTTAGGAAAGTGGGGCAGATCTTAGCAATCTACTCAGACATCTTCCTGTTTTTCTTTTTAATACTTTCCTGTGAAAGAACTTGAATGCAATCATTGAAACCCAAGGCAAGAGCAAGGGTGCCAAAAGGACAATGAAGGTACAAACAAAATGGAAAACAGCTCCAGAGGACCTCTGCTCTCCTCGTGAGAAACTGGGATAGCCTTTGAAGGAAAGAAACTTAATTATTCTTGCTCATGTTTGACCATGTCACTTGATTTCCAGACAGATTTATTGAGCTTGTCTCTCAACCCATTCTAGACACTGCTGCTGTGTAGTCAGAAGATGGATTGGATTTTAAAGCAGTCATTTAAGGGAAATGCTGAGAGCATATCCCAATTTGTCTCAAAGCAGCTCCAGAAGCATAAAATTGTGCAACTGCTGGCCTCTGGCAGATACACCACTAACTCTACCCACTTGCTTCTTCATTATCACACCCAGAGGGAGAAGCACTATCATTCTAATAGAAGAATTCTCAAAATTAAATGTCTAGACTCTGATGGCACCTTGCCAGCTCTCATCATGGTGCTAGATTTAACATTTGCAAGTTGAGATTAGAGTGTGAATTATACAAATGAATACCATTTCCATTTCAAATGGAAGCATGTGGAGGGGAAACTGTTTTATACACCATGGCAAAATGCATTGCTTCTAAATGATACTAGTGGGAGATTAATATCTGATCTCATTACTAAGAATATCAAGTAAAAGCCTTCTCTAGGATAAGCCAACTTGGGAGTTCAGCTTTGTTAAAGGCAGATTTGTTAACAAAGCCCTTAACCTAATTCTTAAAATGCTTGGTAGATCCCCCTACTTTTATCTATAGGGCTTTCTAAAGAAACATATAAAGCAAAAACAAAACAAAACAAGAAAAGCTAAATAACCATTCTGGTCTTTCAACAATTTTTATAGAATAAAAAATTTCTAAAGACCTTTATATGACTAAAACAAAATGGAGGGAGGAGAGGGAGTAGCAGTGTTCACAAATGGATTTGTTTCTGCTGCTATTGCCAACAAATTGGAAGCAATCTGAAAAACAGAAGATGTAAGAGAAAGCAAAACAAGGTTCCTTTTAATATATATACTCTTTCTGACATATCCTAAAAGCCTTCCATCTAAAAATATCAGAACTTTTCATTAATAACTGGGACGCTGTAGAAGTGGTGGAACAACCTGGCTATTCTCATTTTCTTCATGCGTGACTTGTGACATTCAAAGCATTTTACAGGCCTTAAGGCAAACCAGGGTTTGAAAATGACATAATACATCCTACAAGGTCCCAAGTCCTTTTTGATGCCTACCAGACATTTTGGGCCATATTTCCCACAATCCCTTTCAGTCTTGTTGGCTGAAACTGACTGGCATCAAAGTTCAAAGATATTTGGGAGAAACCACAATTTGTACCTTTGAACTACACCATTCCTCAAACTCCTTAGTTTTGTCATCTGGATGCATACACTATTGTAAAGGCCTGTTGTGCCTAGGATGTTATATTTACCTAGCATGGTAAAATGTTATCTTCACTAAACCAACCCCCATTTTCATTTTTTTTTTTTAAGATTCATGAAAATGAATGCTGCAACCAACTCCCCATAAGTCTCCAAATTACCCAATTTATAAAAAGCAACATTAATGATGTTGGCTATAAGAAAAATTCCAAAACCTGTGTTAGCCCAATATATTGATTAGTACACATTTTGGGCATTTAATTGGCGCACATGCTAAATCCTAAGCAGAAGTTAGTAAAACATAACTGCTAAATTCATGTAACATGCGATGTCAAAATAAATAATCCAAATTACTACTTAATGTAATGTCCTGCTTCCTACAACAGGTTGAACTACAAACCACCTATTTTGGCCTAGTCTGACATGCTGTGCAAACCCAGGCATTTGTGATTTATTTAATAAACCACAAGGTAACACAATGTGTGAACTTAGTCTTAAAATTAAATGCGACAGGGATTCAAAGTGAGCTACATTAGGTTTGGAGTCAGTTTCAGGTTGTATTTAGCACTCAGGTGACCGCTTCACCCCAGTTTTTGAAAAATAAAACCCACTTGCTATCCAGAATCCAGGTTGCTAAATGGTGGGCCAAATTCCATGACAAAGGAGTTGGTGGAAAATCTGGTCACTACTATCCTCCCTCTCTGAGCTTTGGGAAAGGAGAAAGGTTTGATAAAAGCTGGAGTACAGGGGCACCTGCACCCTGATCCTCTTCACCCAGAGTCCAAGCAAGGGAAAACGAGAGAGAGAAAGAGGAAAAATCCAAGAAGGAATTCTCTGTTGCTTGCTGGAGATTACTGTCTTTCCCTCAGCTGTTCCAAGAACAGGGAGGAAAGTACCGACTGGCAGCTGAGGGAGCAGATGGCAACCCTCAGGGAGCTGGACCCAGCCCACGGATCGCCAGTTGCCGACCCTTAAATCGATTAGCTTTAATTTGCTTTGTAGCCTGATTGTCTGCCAAAAAACCATGTAGACTGTGAGGGGAAGGCAGTGCAGAAGACAAAAGGTCAGCGTTTGAAAGCAAGGCATTTTATCTGCATGCACATTTCAAATCCAACATCCTCCAAGGACATGCTTTTTATTTTGTTCAATTTATCTTACATCTCTGCCAAGTGGATGAACTGCTGAACACACATTAAGGACACTGCCGCCTTTGCACAGCTGCCCCTGCCCCAATAATCAAGGGAACCATTATGTGATTCAGAGACAGAAGGAATGCCTTGCTTGCCCCTGCAAGAGCTATTTTAAAAGAATTGCTCTTCAGTCATCATTGTAACATTGCTTTAACCCAGATCTCTGCCTCTTTTGAAAACGAATCTGGATCTCTTCTAAACAAAATAAAGGACCCCCTTTTAAAATGACCAGAAAAATAGAGTATTTGATGATAAAAGCTCAGACTGCTGAAAACTCAGCTACAGTGAAATACAACATATTTTTTTGGCTGCAGCGATGTCATGTGATACAGATTCCGAAAAGTGGTGGACCTGCAAGACACAAAAGAATTCAAAGGTAGAGGGAAGAGACGAGGAAGAAAAAATTGAGCAAAGAGTTATAATACAGATGCCATCCAGGTAATTGTTTTTAGATGATCAATTGATCTAAAAGCAAATGTTATCTGACTACATTTCAACAAATTTGCAACTGAAGTTCTGCTGCAGTACTTAAAAGTGTTGGACCTGGTTAGAACTGGAATGGGAGATCATCAGGAAATCACAGGGTATAAGCTAAACCAAACCAAAACATCCTGGAATAAAGCAATGGCAAACCACCCATATTCCTGCCAAGAAAATTAAATGGATGTGTTCAGGAAGTCCCCAGAAGTCAAGTTCACCTCAAAGGACACTTTACTTAAAAATAAAAAGTGACTTGCTTGGCAGGAAGCAGGGAAAAAATTGTTTCTGCAAATCTTTTAGTTAGTGTCCTGTTTAGCTTCCCCGTCTCCTAACTCCAAATTTTGATTCAGGAGACCTCATTTCAGCATGGAAAATTCTTCATGTTTTATTACTTTTAGTAGCTTTACCCAGAGTGCATCTGACTGAGAACATGTAAACCAGATATGGGCAGCCGAAGTCCCCTAGCTGCTCTTTTTGAGGTCAGCAGAGCTCAAGGAATCACGCACCTTCTCTGCTGCCCAGCTGAGCCATCAGGAAGCAGGAACAAAATGGTGCTCCCTCATTGCTCCTACCTTAGGTGATATAACGATCTTGAGCAATTGCTGAGAATGATGATTGCTATGGTTTGTTGAAAAAGCTTGTGATGGAATGTATCTACGAGGAGGAGAGCGATGTGGGAGATCAAGGCTATCGGGAAGGAGGGGCGGCATTCCAGCAGAGGAAAGGAGGCAAAAGACAACACAGTCCGCAGGGGGAGCATGAGAAGAGTAAGAGATCCAGGATGGCCACTCCCTAGGATCTCCCAGGGTATATCCACTAGTTGCTGTAGTATAGATTTAGTTCGGCAAGATTCTGTCTATAAGGTGTAAGCAGATAAAGGAACTGTACTTGACTGGACTGTTCCATCGTTGTTTTTCAGCTGGGCCTGACAAAGCCACAACTGTTTCAGTTCACACAGCAAGCCAAGCCTAAATAATTGTTTACCAACTGCAAGGGCTGGATTTACACAACAAGTGACACCAAAACAAACAGACCAAATGATTGCTCAGCCCAGTCTATAATCACTGAAATCCAAAGATACCTGCTCAGCTTTCCAAGTGACTTCTCATACAGAATTTGGGATTTCTGAAATCATTATATGATAAAAGATCTCCAAATTGCCCAGGGAGGTATACCTCCAAACCCATCTTGATGATGAATATGGGAGGGGGAAGGAAAAAACGAGCAAACCAAATGATGGAAATGATAACAACTCTTTCTAAATATGTATTCAATTAAAAGCAATTCTCACTTGAAAGCTCTTGAATATTATTATTTCACTTTACACTGAAACTTATTAAAAGGCACTTGAGTGTTAAGATACTCTTTTTGAAAGACGGGGATGTTTTGTATATTTTCCCACAAGGTCTACAGCTCCTTTAAACCAGGCCAGTCTGCCTGTCTATCTGCCTGCCAATCAATCAATCAATCAATCAACTTCCATTTGATAGTAAGAGCTCTCCCAAATCTCAAGCAAGAGATTTTTCCTACCAACTGTTACCTAAGCATTATCACCTAGAGAAGCTGGGACTGATCTTGCACTTGTTCTCATAGAAAGAAGGGGCACTCTCTTTCAGGTACAGGTTCTTCCACCTACAACACCAGGTAAGCCTTTTTTATCTCATATGCCCTGAGTTTTGACTGAGCTGCCCAGAGAACATGGAAGCTGCAATTTATCAACATTTGAAGAGGATGGAAAAAGGATGAGTTAAATGGTAATTCCTTCCTATCATTTTTTTTGGGGGGGGGGTGTTGTTTGTTTCTTAGAGATCTCTCACACCAGTCAATTTGGTCTTCCTAAGATGCCCCTTCAGTATTTCCAGGGATGCCTTCATGTCAAGAGTGCCCCATATAAGCTAGGAGCTCCAGGGTTAAAAGTGATATTCTGTAGTTCCTGTGATGACAGCAATTTCCAGAATTCTCTTTGTCTCTGGCTACAAAAACAGCTAAGAGTCTCGTGATACCTTAAAACTAACCAATGTATTATTACATCAGCTTTCAAAGGCTACAGGCAGTTGATGCAATCACAGCTAAGGCCGTGACAAAACAGAGTTATAACCACAGAACTCATACTCCATATAACATATTCTCTGTATGAATACACCTTCAGAGAGAATTCTTTGGAAAACAAGATTGACCAACATTGTACTTTTTTGTTCATGAGAAAGTGAAATGTGGGTGGGGGGGGGAACCTTTAACAGGAAGTAGAAATGCTTACCTAAGGCAGGAACCAAAGAGGAACGACTTTGTTCAAAGCGTGTGGTCATTTGATTGGTCAACACTACCTGAAAGAAGCGTAACAGAAGGGAGGAATCTACATCAAATAGGTTAGCGCTGATGGAAAAAGCTGTTTTTTCCCCTTGGAGGATGTAAGGGAGAATGGGGTCTTGATTTCTGCACTTTTAGCTTAGATTGTAGTTATTTTTATATAGAAGTGGTTAGACTATAGCTCCCATTGTGTCTGATTATTGGTCATGCTGCTGAGGCTTATGGAGTGGAGTCCGTCAACAGCCACAACTTCCCCACCTCTGCCACAAGTGGATATGGTATTGCTGCTGATGCCATAATAATGATGATAATAATTGTATATACTTCTCCTAGAGAAGCTATGCAGAACAATGAAGACATACTATAAAAAAACAGTAAAAATATAGCATGTGGTTGTGTAACAACAAAATATGGTCCAGACATGGTGTATTTATCAACAAGCTATAGCTTAGCATTATGTGTGAACTCGGTTATATTGTATAGGTGAGGATGGGGGAATAATACAATCAAAGCTCAGAACCAGTCATGACATAGGAATGAAACATAGCTTGTATATTTCAGTTTTATAATATTAAGCATAATAATCCATTCTCTGGTCAGGGAAGACTGAAAATCAGTTATATACAGCCTTCCTGAAGCATAAGATAAACATAAGATTCCTACACGTTGTAAGTATAAACAGCCTTTAACACTTCCCTTCGCCTTCACATGTTTTCTTCCCCACCCACTTTAAGGATTTTCCCAGGTTTTAATTAAATACCTGAAAGGAAAAGGAAAATGCCAGCTCCCAGCATCACCTTTCCTTTCAAGAATGGTATTCTTAGAAAATTGAAATGGTTGATGGCTGCTCCTATTCCTCTTGCTGACAAAAAAAGACAAAAGAAAGTTGGAGTGGTGGAGAGAATTCTAGGGGTTAAAGGAGGTGGTAGGGAGCAACCCCACTGGTTTTCTTTCTGAGACATTTTATCATCTAAATCTTGCTCATTGTGGCAACAATTTAGCAAGCAGATATCCCTCCTTGTGCCACAGGACAGCCATTTTGAGTTATTTTGACGATACAAAATACGCCCATCAGGTCCCCAAGTTGGCCTACCTGAGTCAGTAATTCAAAACGGGAACTAAGAAGGATTTGTTCATATAGCACATGAATTAAAGAATCTAATGTCAGCATCCAGTGCAGATGGATTAGACCAGGGTGTCTCTGAATATTCTTAGCTGAGGGGTTATTGCTGTAATGTACTGTGTGAGGCTTCCCATCGGTATCTGATTTAGCCAGCCTGGGAAGTAAGATTTTAGACTGACAGGCTGATCCATTAGGGCTGTTCTGTGTTCTCTTTTAACACTATCCGAGTAAAAACACATGGACAAGACTTATTTTTAGCAGCACAGCAGTAAAAAAGAAATCCCAGTGCGCGTACCGAATTGCAGCTTGAGGAGGAACTGTGTTACCTGGAAACAGGAAACAGAAAAGCACCATTCCAGAACCTGGCTAAGCTTCGTTCTGGAACAATCCTTTCCAACGTGGTTAGGCTGAAAAAAGCCCACCTATAAATAGCCATAGCTCAAGCATGCCACCCGTTGGCATGAAGACAGCTATGTCTGCAACACCTCCATGCAGAGGTCAAAGGATGCAACAACAAATACTCTGCAAGGCAGTTTACTAAGGAACTTCTTCCACATTGTCTCTCACAGCAAGACCCCTTTTCTCTTCACCAGCTGGTGGCCCTGTTACATGTATAAATAAAACAATACAATGACCATCAAAAGGAAGGAAATTCTTAACCCATTTAAAAAGTATATGAGCACTTCTAAGAACAAAGGAATAGCTGGATTCACATATCACATTAAGCTACAGTTTGTTTAACCATGCCCTGTTGAACAAATAGCTGGTTTTAGACAAACCATGGTTTGCCAACCACAAATGATAGGCTTACACAACATGATGTCAAAAAATACATCACAGTGTTAATGTATCAAATTTTCTGTCCAATGTTTAGTCATTACTTTGAGTGTCACAAAAATATACCATTTGCTGACCTAGCCACATACTGTATTGCCTTTCTTCCTCAAACTTACAGCTAAGGTGTGGTCATTTGCGATACATATCAGCTGTTGGGCCAGGCCGTTCAAAAGTCTCGTTCGCAGCGAGAGATCTTCAAAGTCATGGCGGAAAGGAAAAGCAATTCCATCAATCACAATCAACTGTACCTAATGATCAGACATAAAACAGAGAGAGCTTCATTTCCACAGAAATCTGTATCAGAAAAGCCTATGGGATACCTGTAAATAAAAGTCTTTTTCCCTCATTATTAATGAATAGGCTACTTCACAAATTATGGTTGAGGGAAATTAACTATAAATTAATCTGAAAAGGATTAGCCCCATGCCTCAGTTGAGCTGTTATTCTATTTACAAAATTTCAAGCTATAAAACAATGATGAATCTCACAGGAAATGGCTGCAGTTTTCACTCCATCACATGTTAAGAAAAACAAGGACAGTAACAACTTAATAAGCCTCCCACAGTTCTCAGATGTTCTGACTGTTATTGTGTTTAACTATTAGAATGGCCTGGAAATGGTGAAGAGGTCAGGTATTAGTCCATAGGAGATACTGACATGTATTTCCAGATAATTTTGAATTGGAAAATTTTCCTTGAAAAAACCTTTATGTAAATAGGGTGATTTGCATAAGAAAATGTTCAGTTTGCATGGAAAAAAACAACATAGTCATTACTGATTATAGAGAAAAGCTTTTTTTATCCCATCTGCTATCACCCAGTTTTTAATTCTGACTTTCCATAATAAATATCTGAAATACTGAGGAGTTTATAATGACCCCTCAGTCCTCAATGTATTCCAGGTTCCATTACCTGATTTGGCTTTGATGGGAGGAAGCAGCAGTTAAAAAAGAGGTAATTAAATAGTATCATAATTCTTTTTGCGGTTTTTTGTTTGTTTTGGGGTGTATGGGGTATCCAGGGAGGGGTAGCACCTCTGGTGGAGGGGCCTGCCATGCCCTTTCAAGGGCTGCTCATTCACCTTTGGTTCCCTCCTGATCCTCAGCTCTCACCTGTGCCTCCAAGTAGCCGTAACACATGCAGCGGCCACACCCTGGTAAACCATCTTAGCAGATAGGCCAAACCAGGAGAGGGTAGCTGACGGGTCTTCAACTCTCGGTGAGATAGGGGACTTGTCTATCCCAGCATGTGAAGTCTGGCCCTGGCAGACTGAGCAGAGGAGACCTGATCAATGGTCCAATGGTCAAGAAGGCAGGCCCAGCAAATGTTGTGGAGCACTAAGAGCACAAGATGCTTAGAAGTCCTGGTCATCCACTGCAGCAGGAGAGGTCTTCAGCCATAACAGTTCTCTGTGCCACTGGATTAAGGTCTCCTATGCCGAGAGAGAAGGACTGCCCCTGTGCAACAGCTGTTCCACTTAAAACTCCATCACTCACATCACGCACGGTTTTTGTTGTGCAATTCATCTTCATCTACAACTCATCTGCAAATCATCTCAGTCCAAACCTAATTTGTTGAGCCAATCACTCACATCACGCACGGTTTTTGTTGTGCAATTCATCTTCATCTACAACTCATCTGCAAATCATCTCAGTCCAAACCTAATTTGTTGAGCCATGAGGCAATGGGGGAGTGGCAAAGCAAAAGGTGGAGATGACCACTGGCAGCTGTAATCACAAATCTGCACGTGGGCAGCCCTTGGACCAATGGTCATTCATCTCAGTAGTTGGCAGAGATGTCTGGCAGCATCCAGGGCGACTGGGCAGCCCTTCTAGGATAGTACTGCCCACACTCGCATGAGAAAAGGGGTTAGAAAAGGCACCCTAAGCATTGCGTGTCCCACACCATCTGGCTAGCTAACTGCGGCTGGCAGATCATCTCCTTAGCGGTCAAGCATCAAGAAAAACAAATCAAAGAAACCCCGTTTTTGGAGCCTGGAACGTCTGCACCTTGCTGCTTACCCAGCACTCATAGCAGCCAAACTTTGCCACTATAGCATTGACATTGCTGCATTTAATGAAGCCAGGCTGGCAGACGAGGGTTCATTAGAAGAAACAGCGAGTGGATATACGTTCTTTTGAAAGGGAAACCACAGACTGACAGCAGGACCCACGGAATAAGTTTTGCAATCAAAACTGCTCTGTTGAAGAATATCTCTACTCTACCCACTGGAATAAATGAATGCATTATGAAGTTCTGCTTTCCGCTCAGCAAGTCCCGGTACATCACCATTGTCAGCGCCTATGCACCAACTTTCATGAGTCCAGATGAAGACAAGGAAGGTTTCTACAAGGACCTGGATCAGATTATTCAAGCAACCCCCATCAGTGACAAACTCATCATTCTGGGCAACTTCAGTGCTAGGGTAGGGACAGACAGCAACAACTGGGACGGAGTCCTCAGGAGACATGGGGTGGGAAAACTAAATAGCAATGGCCTGCTGCTTCTGAGCAAATGTGCCAAGCCCAACCTGTGCATCACTAACACAATGTTCAAATTTGCAAACAAGTACAAAAGTACTTGGATGTATCCCAGGTCCAAACACTGGCACCTACTTGACTATGTCATAGTATGTCAGCACAACCTTAAAGATGTCACCATCACCTGAGCCATGCAAGGTGCTGAGTGCTGGACAGATGGCAGACTGGTCTGGTCAGTCCTCAACTTGCACATAGTCCCTTTACATCATAAACAACCAAGGACAGAAAGCCATTCAACATCGGCAGACTGCAAGACCCAGGACAAGTTCAATGTTTCCAAGATGTACTTAATGAAAAACTCTCTGGCAATTTACCGCTTGTAGGAACCTGTTCTGAAATGCAGTTTAAAAATGTCATCATGCACTCTACAACAATTGTACTCACACTGAAAATTCAGTGCACCAAGACTGGTTTGATGAAAACTACAAGACTATTTCAACAGCCCTCCAGGCCAAGAACAAGGTCTATGCAGACTGGCAGAGCGATCCATCATCTGTCTCAAAGAAAGACAAGTTTCAGCACCTGCAGTCCAAAGTACAGATGGAACTGCGAGAAATGCAGGACGAGTGGTGGCAGAGAAAGCCTGAGCAGGTAGAACGCTATGCAGACACGCATCCCAGCAGAGAGTTCTTCAGCACCATAAAGTCAGTTTATGGTCCTTCTAAATCAGGAATGCTCCCTCCTGCTGTCATCTGATGGGTTGAGCCTGATCAAGGACCAGGAAGGACTGAAAAACCACTGGGCTGAACACTTTTCCAACCTTTTTCAACAGGCCATCCACAGTTGATTCTGATCTGCTGTGATTCCTTAGCTGCCAGTCTTAGATGCCCTAGACCTGCCTCCCTCTACTGATGAGATCAAGAAAGCAATCTTGCAGATGAACTCAAATAAAGCAACAGGACGGGATGGCATTCCTGTTGAGATCTACAAAGCATGAGACCCAAACGCCTTACAGACCTTCCAAGACCTCTTGGAAGACATTTGGTCCACAGAGGAGATGCCTGATGATTTCCGCGATGCCCTCACTGTGGCTCTCTACAAAAATAAGGGAAGCAAATCAAACTCTGGAAACTACAGGGGTATCTCACTGCTGTCCATTGCAGGCGAGATCTTTGCCCACATTCTCCTGAACAGACTTGTCACTGTCTTGGAAAGGAACCCCCAGAGGCACAGGTTATAAAATCAGGCACAATTCACTTAATGACTGCATCGCTTAGCAATGGAAGTTTTGGTCTCAATTGTGGTTGTAAGTTGAAGACTACCTGTAGTGAAGTTAAAAATGTGGAAGATGTTCGTTACAGAGGAAGCATTTTCAAAAGTTTTCACTTGCAAGAAACATTTTCTACAATAACTTTCTTGCCAATGAATCCCAATTAGAGAATCCCTCTGGACCACAAAATATTAAGGGATACATGGCCTGTGCATATGGCCTATTAACAACATCATGAAGCCGCAAATAAATGCAGCACGATTCTAGAGTATATCCAGACCACCTTATAGCTACATATTTCAAAGAAAGTTATCGACACTGATGGACAAACTCTTTTGAAGGGAATCTTAACTCCATTACTGATTACTTCTTAACTGAGAAACCACAATAGCCTAACATCTAACAGGGTACAACTGAATTGCAGTGTGCATGAAAGTAACTTTTATAAGAAAGTTAAATAAATGGGCTAGAAGACACACTTGCCTTCTACAAGAATCTCCTATACAAATAAATGTATGAAAATTCCATACAGGCTCTGGGCACATCATTTACAGTACATGCCATTTTTCCCAGGATTCAGAAACAGCTTTACAGTTAACCAAAGCAGACTTAACACATTTCAACCTAAATTATTTTACATTGATTAACTGATTTGATAACACAAGGACAGACATGTCCTTTTATAACTGCTGCTCTGCCTGCTGACTGAACATGTTCGAACCATTTCTCTTTAGAAAGGTGAGAGAAAATGACAAAGAATGCTACCATGTAATATAGACAGTTTTCCAAACCTAGAAAAACTGCTCCTCCATGACTTGTTCCAGAAGAAAGTTACTGGGAAATTCAAGGACCCAATGAAGACACAAGGTGACTATGAGCACTTTGCACCATACCCATATTATTCATGCTACTAAAAACTACAGTGGGGCAAAAAAGTATTTAGTCAGCCACCAATTGTGCAAGTTCTCCCACTTAAAAAGCTTATTTTCCACCATGATTTGCAAATAAATTCTTTAAAAATCAGACAATGTGATTTTCTGGATTTTTTCCCCCATTTTGTCTCTCATAGTTGAGGTATACCTATGATGAAAATTACAGGCCTCTCTCATCTTTTTAAGTGGGAGAACTTCCACAATTGGTGGCTGACTAACTATGAGAGACAAAATGGGGAAAAAAATCCAGAAAATCACATTGTCTGATTTTCTTATTTTCCACCATGATTTGCAAATAAATTCTTTAAAAATCAGACAATGTGATTTTCTGGATTTTTTCCCCCATTTTGTCTCTCATAGTTGAGGTATACCTATGATGAAAATTACAGGCCTCTCTCATCTTTTTAAGTGGGAGAACTTCCACAATTGGTGGCTGACTAACTATGAGAGACAAAATGGGGAAAAAAATCCAGAAAATCACATTGTCTGATTTTCTTATTTTCCACCATGATTTGCAAATAAATTCTTTAAAAATCAGACAATGTGATTTTCTGGATTTTTTCCCCCATTTTGTCTCTCATAGTTGAGGTATACCTATGATGAAAATTACAGGCCTCTCTCATCTTTTTAAGTGGGAGAACTTCCACAATTGGTGGCTGACTAACTATGAGAGACAAAATGGGGAAAAAAATCCAGAAAATCACATTGTCTGATTTTCTTATTTTCCACCATGATTTGCAAATAAATTCTTTAAAAATCAGACAATGTGATTTTCTGGATTTTTTCCCCCATTTTGTCTCTCATAGTTGAGGTATACCTATGATGAAAATTACAGGCCTCTCTCATCTTTTTAAGTGGGAGAACTTCCACAATTGGTGGCTGACTAAAAAAATCAGACAATGTGATTTTCTGGATTTTTTCCCCCATTTTGTCTCTCATAGTTGAGGTATACCTATGATGAAAATTACAGGCCTCTCTCATCTTTTTAAGTGGGAGAACTTCCACAATTGGTGGCTGACTAAATACTTTTTTGCCCCACTGTATGTCCAGCTTCTAGGAAACAGAGACAACTAACAGCCATATAATTAGCAGAATTCAAAGCATCCAGAAACTGTTAGTCAAGGGAAAACAATTTATTTTTATTTCTGCCCCACCTCATTGTAGTGGTATGGTTGAGCTGAGAAGGTAAAAGGATGGAAGCCTCAAACTTCCTCTCCCAGAAACCCTCTGGAAATATGCACCATAGCTCCACCTACTACAACTAGTGACACAGGAATTCTTGCTGCCACCACCTATCTTCCTGGGGATGTTTTCGCTTGGCATCCTCCCCTTTATCCCATGTGTGTGAAACTCAGTGCAGTTACTATCTAATAGGAGATCCTCAGAACAAATGTTACCTCTGTGCCAGATTGTTATTTGGAAAATCTTTCTTCGTGCAAATACCAAAGAGGTTGAAGAAAAACCTTAGCTCTCCCTTTCTCCCCCTCCCTGACTTTAGCAGACAATTTCTTACTTCTTCCCCCACATCCCCAACAGAAGTGCCTGCAGTTTCCAAGAGAACAAATGTTTTTCCATCTGGACTGCAAGGGCTTATGGGGGAATCTCTCCTATGAGCTCTGTACTAAAGTAAGGATTTCTTTTCAGGAACATCCTGCTGTGGAGATCTGTAACATACAGGTAGTCCTTGCTTAATGACCATTTGTTAAGCAACTGTTCGAACTTACTTGAACAAGTGGTACTTATGACTGGTCCTCAAAGTTCCACCAGTTGCAGCACTGCTGCGGTTACGTGATTGCAATTGTGGCGCCCAGCAAGCGGCCTGGATTTCTGACTGTCACAGCATCCCAGTCATGTGACTGCAATTTTCGACCTCCCCTACTGGTTTCCCATAAGCAAAGTCAATGGGGAAGTTGGCAGGAAGAAAGAAGTTGCAATCACGTGAGGTCCTCGCTTAACGACATCAATTGGGGACTGCTGGGATTGTCACTGCTAAGTGATGCAATCATGTGACATCATGCTTTACAACTGCATTGCTTAGTGACAGGAATTCTGGTCCCAATTACCATTGTTAAGCGAGGACTACCTGTATATTCTTACAAATTCTATAGAATACTAGAAAGGAAACCAGATCTTATTTATTTTAAAATGAGAAAAGTATATAAATCTGAAGAAGATGGGAAAAGATGCACAACTTTTATGCACTACTGCAACCCTAACACATTATCTTCCCCCTCTGAGAGGTGCACCTCTTTTTGGTTCTTACCTTTGAGTGTCCAGAGAGGAAATCTGGGAGGAGGTAAATCTGTGCCAGTAGCTCCATATAGTCATGGCAACGGAAGTAATAGATATGTGAAAGAATATTTTCAAGAGAGAAAGTCTCCAAAGCTATTTGATGATCTGAAGAAAAAAAGGAAAGAAAAACACATAAAAATCTTCATTGAACTTATTGTTTATTCCTCATCCCTCCCTTCCTAGCTTGAGAGAGAGAGGCAGTTAACAGAGCAAGGTATGGGGAATAATCAATTCCTTCCAGAGAGGTGGTTGCTTTAGTCTTTTATAATAATAAGTCATATAATCATATGATAAATCATATGATAATATATCATATATAATATGATATTTGTGATTATAAAATGATTATAGTATCATCATAAATATTACACAACAACAACAATAATGCCTTGTTACACCTTAAAGACTAACACATCTATTATTGCAGAGGAAGGTGTTGGGAGTAGAAGAAAACAGTAAAAAGATTACTGTTATTAATAAAAATATTAATGCAAATATCTGCACATACTCCTGCCTGATTAAACCCCCACTGCAGTTCCCAAATTTTCTTTATTCATCTTTCATAGACTTTCTATCAAAATTTTGTTAAATACCTTTCCAAGCAGTGAATGGTAGACAGACTGTATAATGCAACAAGGATTTTGTGTTTTTGTTCAATCCATGCAAACTGCTGTTAAATCTCTAATGAATTCTGTCTATGAACTGAAATCAGTCTATGTAATTCAAAATGGTACTTAAAAGGCAAGCCTTTAAATGCAGCAATCTCCAAGCAGTTTTCACAAAACCAGCAAAGAATCCAGAGCTAATGTAAAATGCTAGAGAGTTAAAAGCACAGCTTGGACACATATCTGATTCAAGTATTAAGTCTATCACCATCAATTCACTCTACTAGACATTTGTCAAGATTTTGTTTGGAACAAGGAGAATCTGCCTCTGGGCCTTTTCCTTTATGTGCCTTCATCATCTTATATGCTTTGGATGGGCACAATAAACTTCTAGGCTTAGGCACCCGGTGGCCCTTCTCTTATTCCAAATTTGGGAATGTGCATTGGTTCATTACTGCAGTCTGATTCTGGATGAACAAAACAGTCTGATTCAGTACTGTATACAGTTGCTTCCTATATTTGAATAAATATTGTACCGATCTATGACTGTAATAAAATAAACTGAACCATGTGAATATGTAGCCAGGGAGAAATCACACTCTGCACTAAGGCAAATATAGTTTGGTAATTAACCTTCTTCTGGGTGCATTTCAGCAATCAGCCGACAGTGATGAATGCAGGCTTCTGCTATATCCACAACTCGGTCAACCATAAAGCTTCCCTCGGTATCTATGAATATAGCTTCTCCAGCAAGTCCACCAAAGCATTCTGGAATCTGAACATCCACCACAAGTTGCATGCTGAGAAGAAAGAAGGACAGAAGCAGAATGATAATAAGATGTCAGCAGAGAAAAGTTATTAAAATAACTCATTGCTTAACTACTTTGATAGCTGAAAATACAAAGGATCTGCAAGCTCTTGTAATAAAAGTTGAAGAGCCCAATGAAAAAATGAGACTGAAATTAAATATAAAGATGACCAAATTAATGACAACAGATACAACAATCAGCCTTAGAATTGATAATGAAGATATCAAAGTGGTGGACTGTGTCTGACTGTAGGAGCAGCCATCAACAATAAAGGAATGAGCAGTCAAGAAACATGCTGCAGACTAGCACATGGTAAAGCAGCCATGAAGGCCTTGGAAAAGACATTCAGATGCCATGATGTGTCCATACCTACAAAGATCAAAATCATGCAAGCCACAGTATATCCTGCGACCTTCTAGGGAGCAAGAGTTGGACTTTGAAGCAGGATAGGAAGAGTACTGATGCTTTGGATCTTTGGTGTTGGAGAAGACTCCTGAGAAGACCATGGACAGCCAAGAAATCAATCAAATGGATCATCGAAGAAATCAACCCAGAGTTCTCATGAGGCAGAAATGACCAGGCTCAAATTATGCTACTTTGGACACATGATGTGAAGACCCAGATCTATGGAGGAGGCTCTGATACTGGGAAAGGTGGAAGGAAAGAGAAGAAGAAGGTGACCAGCAGCAAGGGGGATGGACTCAGTTACAGTGGCACAGCTGAAGACCTGAAAGACCAGGTTAGGGACAGATTGTAATGGAAAAACTTTATCTATGTGATCACTAAGAGTTGACACCAACTTGATGGCACATAATTAATCAATCAATCATTGCTTAACCAGAAAAATCAATCCTTCTTCTGTCAAAGGGTATACTGAATGGGAAATACTACCACTGCAAGTTCTGTGGTGGGGAACTCTTAAGATACAGTTGCAAGAAAAAGTATGTGAATCTTTTGGAATTTCATGCTGTTCTGCATTAATTTGTCATAAAATGTGATCTGACTGTCATCTAAGTCAAGAGTATTGGCAAATATAATGTGCCTAAAATAATAACACAAAAACAATTCTGATCCTTCATGTCTTTACTG